TTAGTATTACAGAACTTTGACAACCTTCAAACTCAATCAAATTAGCAAATAATCTATTTATATAAATTGAAACCCTGCTATGTGATGTATACATCAATGTTACAAATAATTGTTTGTTGGATATATTTCTCTATGTAATATATTGAGTTTGATTGAATACTGTCAATAACAACACTATTAAACTGTTAAAAGGGACCTACATTTTATTTGATAATATCATTTATCTATGTATTATATCGACAAATACCTGGTATCATGATTATATTTTCTATATTTTCAATTTGGGAAATGTCGCAATGTCAGTACTTAATTGAAATATTGCCATAATACCAATTATTGATTATATATCATGAAACTGATATTATAGACTTTATTTGATGTATATATGAATATATGATTGAAATATTTCAATTTTGACTTTTCTTAATGACATGGGTAGTTCACTAAGGTAGTCACTTTGCCATATGACAACTATCTAAGATGATATTGAAATCATTCTAAAATTGATATTATGAGAGTATTTGATGATTACAACATGATGAAAATGAAAAGGAATTAATTATTACAATATTTGACATGTAAGAATGTTACCTTTGATCAATTGGATAAGTAGCTTGACAGACATTCCAATTATATAGATATTGATTTCTATTACTCAGATACTTTACAAATATCATTTATAAGAGTAGTGGTATATTCTGTTTTTTTATACTTCTTGATATTGACTTGTCATAATATCATGAGTAATTGCTTACATGGTTAAATGACATGTATACTGAATGATGTCCAAATGATATGAAATTGATAGGAACCTCTTTATATGATGTTTATAACATATTGTATCAATTTGGTATTGAATCTCATTGATCTTAGGGAACTCTCCTATTAAATTTTGTAAAATCAATATTTACCTTCCTATGGCACCATTTCTAATTATTATGATATGAAATTGAATTCTACATCATTATATATCATCTAAATCATTATGGTAAAGTTTCAATAGTGGTTCTTTTTCAAGATTTCATCCTTTTCATCATAGTTGACTATGTTTGATTGAGTTAAGAAATCTGTAAACATGAAAGTTAAAATAAATTTGATATTCGATGTTTACTCATCAAGTGGAACATTTTCATATTAGGATTCAATATGTTTTGATGAGAAACTCAAAAGTTATGGGGTTTGGGGTTGGGTTTGGGTTTGGGTTTGGGTTTGGGTTTGGGTTTGGGTTTGGGTTTGGGTTTGGGTTTGGGTTTGGGTTTGGGTTTGGGTTTGGGTTTGGGTTTGGGTTTGGGTTTGGGTTTGGGTTTGGGTTTGGGTTTGGGTTTGGGTTTGGGTTTGGGTTTGGGTTTGGGTTTGGGTTTGGGTTTGGGTTTGGGTTTGGGTTTGGGTTTGGGTTTGGGTTTGGGTTTGGGTTTGGGTTTGGGTTGGGTTTGGGTTTGGGTTTGGGTTTGGGTTTGGGTTTGGGTTTGGGTCTGGGTTTGGGTTTGGGTTTGGGTTTGGGTTTGGAATTGGGTTTGGGTTTGGGTTTGGGTTTGGGTTTGGGTTTGGGTTTGGGTTTGGGT